TACAGAGCTGCGGCGACGCTAAGGCCGTCAATATGAGAATTAACCCAACAGCACAGCAACACATTTCTTCAAACTGAGATCAACACTGGTGAGATTTTGAATAACAATATTTATACCTATACATCTTGATTTTTTTGTAGTTAATAAAAGTAATAAAACAGATTTTTTAGCTTGTGAGGAACAGATTTAGCTGAGCTTGTCAGAAACATTTGGTGAGGTCAGTCGTCATTTTTATACCCGGTCATGCAAATGTTTGCTTTCTGCAATGTGAGCCAACCTGTCTGCCTGCCTGGGCTGGGAACTCGGACGATATGAGAGGGATCATCCTTTCCCACCGAATCCACAGCGTTACCACGACGACAGGGAAATCAGCTGAAAAACCTTAGGCAGGAGATCTGTCTGTGTCAACATCACAACTCATTAATTCTGACCGTGAAAAAATAAGACCCAGACAACAGGGAATCTGCGGGTTTCTGAACAATATGCATCAGATATGACACTTAACATGCCCCGACGTTGTTCTACAAAATATTGAAACATAAGGCAGAATACAGAAAACAGAATACAGAATACAGAAACACACAGAGAAACGAATAAATCCCCTCCGGAGGAGAAAAACAGTACAACAAAACTCCAGACAAATTAAACTTATTGATTGATGTCAGATTCTTACCAATCAGTGGATTAAATGTTTTAATTTATTCTACAAAGCTGCCATAGGCTTCTTATTGCAGATGTACACAAACCAAAACTATAGTGAACTCTTCATTGTAAATGATGAAAAAGTACTTATTCTATTGGCAGATAATTTCACTTTTAGCAAGACATTTTTCCTATTTTACAGTGAAATAAACTGCCATTAATTGTTAATCAATATTAAGAAATTATTTACTTAAAATCAAGCTCCTATATCTTGTTAAAAATTTACTTCTAAATTAGTTTAATCTCATTTCAAGTGTATTAAGATCTAGAAACTAGATCAAAAATTCTTGCTAATATTTTGTGTTTTTACAGTGTTGGGATTTGTGGGGGACTGTGGACAACAACCCCAAACGAACAAATGCAAATACTTGAGACCCCTCTGACATTGCTTATTTTAATAGTTAAAACACCACATAACGTGCATTAGCGCAGTTGTAAAGTGATTGAGTAAAGTATCAATTGTTCTGACGATTGAGTAATCAAATAAAAAGAAATGGTCCCATTCTTTAAAAGCTAATCAAGCTAGCAAAACAAACATGAAGGAGAAAATGCTAGTAAAATACAATTTTGTTTTTTAACAATAAAATTATATTATTTAAAATGCCATTTAATTGAAATCACTTTGTCTCAAGTTTGAAGTATTAAAAACCTTCATGAAATAAATATTTCTAATCTATTTATATGTTTGTTTGTAGTTTTTTTTTTTTTTTCGCTGTTGTTAATCAGCAAATACATAAGGTCAGGCAAAAATGTATTTCCACGCCAGATTCTGTATTAAGATTAAGAGTTTTTTTGGAAAGGGAACAAAACTGTCACCTGTTAGCAGCTACGAAGTAGCTTGATGTGTGTAGATGATGTTTCCTGCTGAGGAGATCAAGCATCGAGGACTTCCTGCTGTGAAACGTAAGTTCCGTTTTGCAGTACACGGACTGATCTATGATATTTTTCTTTTTAGATTAAAATGACTCCACACTTTTGATACTTTTTGTCTCTTTCTTGACCTCGCTACTTTCTATCTGTCGCCGTTTCCCTCCATAGCTACTAATAATAACACTTAGCATTCGTAAACCGCTGGTTGGCGGAAGTGAGAGCGTTGTGCAACACAAATAATAGTCCGACCGGAACACAGTCGCTAATTTGTAAAGCATTATTTAATAAAGTCTCGATTAATTATTAAGAGTTCTTTTTTTAAGAGTTCTTTGAATAATTTGATTAATTGCTACAGCTGCAGTATGTATAAATATGTACAGTGGAAACCATCTTAGCACTCCAACAGGAGGTAATATCTATTTTTCCTAGTCTTGAACTGAGGTGCTTGAACTCAGGAAAAAATAAAATTGGCAAATAATTAGGAATTGTTCCACGAATACCAAGCTGCAAATAGACAAGGTTTTACTTTATTAAAGTAAGCCAAACTTAAAGAGCAAGTTTACAGGGAAAAAAAGTGAAATAATGCAGTTTTGAATGTTTTTTAAATTATGGAATGAACTGCAAAAAGTCCTTAAACTAAAAATGTTATGAGCTTTACATTCTGTTTCATTGTTTGAATGTTACATTATTGACGCCTTTTATACAGTTTATATTTGTGTGGTTTGAGCAGGTCTTCACAGCAAATGGGGGAATCTGATATTTTAATGGTTAAAAAATAATTAATATATGCAATGCCACAGCTAAATTCATTCAAACACTGACATTTACCCCCTTAGCAATGCTATATATGTATATTTAAATAATATTTAGAGACAGATTAATCTGTTTTGTGCTACAGGATAAGCTAGACTGTCTACTGCAGGGAAATGCAATCAACATTTTGCTGCAATACTTCACAGAAAAACCACTCCAGAACTCTGGTGGTAACATTTTACAGTCACGATATCACACAAACTCAGGACTGAGGCTTCTTGGACATTTGGCTTTCGTCACGTTGCTGCAGCAATTGCCAAAAAAAGCCACCCATGTGCAAATCAGCTCCAAGTGTGCCAGCTGAAAGGATAACGGCTCATCAGTCATGTCCAGGGGATGCTGGCTCAGTGGCAGACGCCTGGTGAGGGTTCACTGTAGCCGCACCAAAATAAAGAAGAAAATAACGTCATGGCGGCTACTAACTAGCGCTCAAATATAATTAGAAGGAAAACAATGAAATAATGTTGAAAGGCTAAACCAGTGACAGTAGCAAACTGTTCTTCTGTTAACTGCATCCTTCTTGTTGTCTCGTCAGATAAGCAATGAGATTAAATGTAACAGGATATTAAAACCAGTAACACACCAGCAAAGATGAGCACACTGCGCTGCTGCAGGCTGATCTTCGATAGCCACCATGGAAATAACACACAGGGAACATTTGGCAAATAAAAAACAATGAGAAGACATTATTATGTGCATCCCAATAAATTAGATTATCATCAGGGAGTTCACTCATGTCAGAAATTCAACTTAAAAAGGTGAAACCCTCATTATAAAGATTCATTACACTCAATGATGTATTTTAAGTGTTAGCTGTCGTTAATTTAGAAGATTATGACTTACAGTTAATGAACCCCCACAGTTCATTAACATAAAATTAGCATCTTCACCCCTCAGGATGTATGTTTGTTATTTTCCTTTAGCAACTTGAATTTCAGAATGGCTGCCTTTTCTCAAGATGGCTGCCATTTTTGTGTCTTTTATTTATTTATGAATTACTACAATAAATTATATAGATGCCCAATTCTTGCATGAAATTTAAGTTAATCTTATCATCAAGAGATGAATTAAGCAAACACTCGTTACCTAACATACATTTATATCACTTGCTTACGCATCGTAATCTCTGTATTTGTTGAGAATAAATACAATGTATATATGTTCAATTTATTGATATTTAAAATGTGATTTTAAAGATATTCCCACTTATTTAAGGAGAAGTCATAACCGAAGGTCTGTGCCTGGTGAACAGTTGGGGGATAATGTTAAAATATTCAACAGCCTTTGTTAAAATGATCCTCTTCTGAGTCAAAGGGCCCATAGACAATTAAAACCTTTTCCTTTGACCTTCTGAGTTCCTGCTACTGATTCTATTGTGCAGCAGCTACAGATATAAAAATAGTCAGAGCCTGGTTACAATGCAGCTCTGCATATGCAAGCTGCTTTAAGACTCAGCACAGCACAAACCTTGATTTATAGGAAAGAAGACACTTTTCTGACGGGGTTTTCGACAGACTGTTGTTTGATTTCTTCAAACATGGCCAGGGTCTTTAAAATGGAAAACAAAGCGATAAACAGTTGAGTGATTCTCCAGGATTTTCTCTTCAACCAGTGAGTATCTGTCAGCGAAAAAAAAAAGTAAGTCTAAATCTCTGGTGCCTGAAACAAAAACCAGCCAGCAGAAAATGGTGAAAGCAGGGATATAACAAAGTCTTTGCTCCTGTCCACAGGATAAATATAACCCCTCTGGGTAGCAGGAAGGAAGAGACAATACCTTAAGACTAAAATTTTTATTTTATATTCTAACAAGGACAGCTCCCCTGAGAGTAAAAAACTAATTTTCCAGGGAGTCCTGGCCAATCAGCAGGAAAGGCAACAATTACAAGTAGTTTCATAATTAAAATGCCTTTTAAATAATTAAAAACAATCAAAGACCCAATCTCTGGTGCTTTCACACCATCACACTCCCACCACCGTGTTTTACTGCTGGTGTTCTTTTTCTGAAATGCAGTGTTCCTTTTTCACCAAACTCAACGTGACACACACCTCAGCAAAGAGTTTAACTTTTGTCTCATTCCACAGAATGTTTTCTTAAAGTTTGCATTTGTTCTGGGAAAAATTGAGATGAGCCTGAAAAATAGATTCTTTTTATTTTTTAGCCTTATAGCATGTTATAAATGTGTTGCTTTCATTCCTTCATGCTTGTTTGAGAAATCATTTAATCTCCATTGCAACCAGTCATGAGCTAAACGCCTCGTTGGATCCAGCTCCTCCTGGGACCTGCAGTTTCCACTGAGCTCCTTCAGACTAGCCAGCTTTCTCTTGAATTTCAGGCATTTAGAACTGAATGTGTGGAACGTTTTACATGCCGAGAGGAAATTCTGACTTTGTTTCTATTGTATACCAAAATGTGAGAGTAGCATTTTTCCACTTTTGTGACATGATGTCACCATTCATCTCCATTCATCTTGTGAATGGAGATGAATGGTCTGCATGCATGACCCGCTTCTGACCCGATGACCTCTGGAGCGAGACGCCAGCCCCGACGCCACCCTGCAAGAAGGATGGACGCTTCTCTGACAAAAGAAAAAACAAACACTGTGCAGAAAGTCACATTAATTCATCAAATCCTTTATTGCTATGTGCTCCCCAATACAACAAACAGCATCAGTAGTGTGCAAATCCATCTACACAAACAATACAAAGCAGAAGCTGAGGGTTTGAAAGCGCGGATAAACAACAGCGTGGATACAGTACATGGAGGATCCTATGCTAGAACGTCTGTCTGCGGCTCAGGGATTGTCATTTATCTCCTACAGCTACACTATCATCAAGCTCTCTACAACATTAGCAGCAACGTTTAAAGGCAGCAATTAAAAAGGAACTGGGGAGGAAAATGTAAAACTAAAAAAAATGTCAAAGAGCATAAAACTCGTTTTTTTAATTAACTCTGATCAGTCAGTACATGCTGCTGTGATGTGCAGTCACGACTCTTAACATCTACAAACAGCTGAGAGAAAAACAGCCTTCTGACAAGCGACTCAAAACTGAGCACGTATATTTACAACTAAACACAAAATCGTCTCTATTCTATCACATTTATTTATCTGAATGACAAAAGAAGGTGATTCGGTTTCCATGATGTACCTCCTGCAGTTTCCTGCACAGACTGTAAAAAAGCAGAACCATTTGACTTTCAATAAATATTCATGCACTCAATGCTATATACATGTCTAACTGTACATTGGCACACAGGAGTGAGTGTGAAAAGCTGAAAACTATTTGCTGAAAACACAAAACCGTGTCTTTGGCTATTGCAGTCAGATGCATGGTGGTAGTTAGGAAATCCTTCTCAGAAATAAATTAGCTTTCTCTCTGCAGAACTTCGGTTCAACACAAAAAAGCGATTATTAAAGAATCTAGGAGAAAATAGGTTTCATAGACAGTAAGATTCTGTTTAAATCCAGCTTATTGTGCTTCAGTTTGGCTTTTATCCTATAAAAAAACGAAACGTTCAACACACAACAATCAGTTTGGACGCAGACGTTTTGAGCCGTATTGATTTCTAGACTTTGTTTCTAAAACAGTAAATCAACTGGAATGTGTAAGTTTTTATTGTAAATGTATTAAATTAGTTAATATATTTATTCAAGCTAAGCTGGTATGAAGTAAGTTCTTTCTAATAGAGGTTGAACAGTTTTTTTTGTTCTGGTCCACATGTTAGTACTTTTTAATTCCCAGTAACACAGTAAAATAAAATCTATTTATTCAACAGCTGATCCAATAACAGCTCAGCATTAATACTTGAACAGAAAACGGTTGATAGGAAAATAAAAGTGAAATTATTTCCTACATAATAATTTATGTAGGATTAAACAAAGCACATTCTCCTCTGTAAAGCCCTTTGGTTCCTGCAGCACCAAATCAGTTTTATAACAAAGTATTAGCAAATTAGAAAATCCTTGATTTAAAAAAATCAGCACCTTAGCATGTTTAAAAGAAAAATATTTGAAAACTCTAACAATAACTTAATTTTAAACTCTATATGACATTCATTTTAATGGAATATGTAAATGAGGTGAAACGGAAAAATAACGCCGGCACCACATTACAACGCACTTAACACTGTAACATAAATACTATAAGATGCATACAAATTGGTCCCCAGATGAGCCAAGTTACAAAACAATGACCTTAAAGCTGTTTCCAGTGGTGAAGATTCACTCACCTCAGCATGCTGGAGGCTGGAAACTGAGAGTGAAACTGACGGCATGACCTACTTTCTGATTAATCTAGTGAACAATTATCTGACCAATTTGGGGCACTAAAAAAAACAAACAAGCAAAAGCAAGAAGGAAACAAGACCGAGAACAAAATTAAACATCTTTGATCCCAAAGGGATGTTCCAAAAAAATCTGCTTCATTTCGTCACTTTTAGACCTACATCACATAAATTTCTTTCATATGCCTGCATACCAGGCAGCTCATGCAGTGTCTCTCCTATGAGCTGTTACATAAAGTTTTGGAAATAATAGCTGGTTGTAGTCAGAAAGCAACACATCCGAAATGTATACCTGCCAAGTTTTTATCACTTCCTGTCAAAAAGAGAGCGCTTGTTAAAATTGTCAAATGAAAAACACAAAAAGACAGAGCTGCTTGGTGGATCATTTCACAGAACAAAACAGATGTTCTGTCATTTTAAAAACAGGTGAAGCTAGTTTGATAATTTAGCAAGAATATATCGTCTAATAAGTGAATTAAAACCTCATTTAGTATATTTAAACAGTCTAAGACTTGCGATCTGAAAAAGAGTTTTGTTTGAATCAGATGAGACATGCGCTCACTGGCTGCACCAGTTCAGTAACTCACATTTCAAATCAGTCACCCAAAAAACAGAAACTCAATTTATTTAGACATCTAGACAGAAATCTAAACTGAGCATCAAGATGGGGAAAAAAATGGGGATTTAAAGGATTTTGAACTTGGCATAGTTGTTGGTGTCAGATTGGATCGTCCGAGTACATCAGATACTGCAGATCCATGAGGATTTTCATGCTCAGCCATCTTTTACAGTTACAGATAATGGCCAGAAAAAGAGAAAATACCCCATAAGTAGCAGCTGTGTGGACAAAAAGGCCTGGATGATGCCAGAACGGAATCGGTAGGAGATAAGACGATGGGAAGGGAACGATGGCTCAAAAGCCACAAAAGGAATTTAATCTGACTCTTATCTGCTGAAAAAGAGAAACCGGTTTAATGCTGCTGGTTCAATGGTGCGAGGCGATATTGTCCATTATGTTGGACTCTATAGCACCTATCGAGTGTTGATGCTTTAGCACCAAAAACTCAAATTTATGCAGCATAAAACTGTAAGTCAACAGCCTCTGGTTCCAAGCTCTGGATGTGGTGCAACAGGGATTTCAGGTCAATGCAGCCAAAAAATCTGCAGCAAGAGTCAAGCAATCGTGTCAATATGGAGCCAAATATCCCAGGAATATTCATGAGAATTTAGTGAAAGTGTGTTTGTTTTTAAAATGTCCAAACAAGTAGAGTGACCGATGGCCAGTAAGTAGGTCTGATTTGATTCACTTCTTTAACGTTTAAGTCTTACTGAGCAAAAATATTCATGATTCATGAAATAATTTAACTCTTCTCTGCAGAAATTTCTTTTTGTTTTGCAGACGCTGTATCTAGGAAGCTAATCTTTGTACTGTGAAGAAAATGAAATAAAGTGATATGTTGTTTATTAGCTTTTGAAAGTGAAACCAAGTCAAATTAATTTGTTTGTTTGCACTAACTTGGGGAATGTGGCTGATTCAGATGCTAGATTTAATTTGTGGCAGAGCTAGAGCCTTAGATTACAGTAAGCTAAGCTAACCGTCTCTAGCATCAAAGGTGCCACAGTTTATAACAAACAAAAACATATTTGTAACAAGAAAATATTCAGAATATATGTACATGATCTGAATATTTTAACTTAATTTTCATTCCTTCTGGTATTAACAGCACCAATATTGATCATGTTAGCCACACTGAACTAGCATAAGGGAATGTTTAAAGTTTTCTTGATTTCTCAAAGTAATACTGATATTTTCATGTGTGATATTTACAGAAAACTGTAGAAATACTGTCAGAAATTAAAAGGCAGCACATCTCAAAAATAATAATAAAAAAACAAAGCTGGCTAACATTTAACCTTTCATGTTAGTTTTGATTATTTTATTATTTAATTAAATTCTTCTCATTATTGACCAAGTCAAGTTTCTAAATATTTCAGGGTTTTTTGGCAAGAAAAATGGCCGTTAAAGGTTAAAGGTCGTGTTAAAACTTCACATCTTTTTGAATGAAAGCATTCCAGAAAAACCCTTAGTCAGCAAATGAGCAGAGCAGAGCCACTGTGTCTAATATAAAAGTTAACAGGTCAAAACATTTTAGTTTAGTTCACAAACGCAGCCTGAAATTTTCCCTTTCACAGATTTAATTAGCTCCGTCTGCTGCGGCTGTTTTCTCCTCCGTCTATTAAGCACCTAATGTAAACCTTTAAGCACACTGCTCAATGTCAAAACTAAAAAAAAAACATATATATTCCTATTAAAGAGATTATTGAAACAAAAGAAAACAGGTTGTATGATTGGTTTTAAACTCAGACAGCAAAACACAGAAACCGAATCTTTGTGTTAAAGTGATTCAGACTAAAAACAGGAGATTAGATATAATTCCTAAATCTTTTGTGATAAGTCGTTTTTAGTTGTTGGAGCATTAAAATGTCTGTTGGAGGCAGCAGATTTTACTAAGGATGATCGTTGTGAACTTGGCTTCTGCTGCTAACGGCCCTCATATCACTTATGACAGGAACTGAAAAATAAACCAATCAGAACAAAGATTTGGGAACTTTCGTAAACATCTCACTGAATTGTTTCTAGATGACCAAAATCCAGAATTCAATACTGTGTTTTGAATAAAGCAGCAATTTCTTTGGAAAACTACATGTTGGACTGACAGAGACCTCTGTCTCAGTTTCGTTTTGAAATTTGACCAGAACGAAATTCCCTTTGGGTCGTTTGAACTCTTTCAGCTGTCTGGGAACGTCAGCGTTGTGTTTCAGGTCCATTTCAGTGGGATAATATGGATAAAAACAAAGTGAACCAGCACTTTTCCTTCCACCTTCCGACTCTCTGTGGTGTATTTGGTGAGGCTGGAAAATCTGTCCATGAGGAGTCCTGAAGGGAACACGCTTCACTTTCATCTCTCAACTTTAGAGTATGACGTAGGCCACCGGCTCCCCATCAAACCGCCTGACCTTTGACCTTCTGGCTCCTGGAGGAGCGACGGGGTGAGCTTTAGATCTCGTGGGACTCTCCTCGGTGCTTTGGAGACCTTTGGCTGGGCTTTCTTTAGCGGCGCTGGGGTTGCGATGCGTTTTGCAGGGCTGCTTTTTCCTGAGCTCTGCTTGCTGCTGCCGGTGGCGTTGGCCATCAACGTCTCCAGCAGCTGGGAGGCCGATCCGAAGCGGACGTGTTCCTCCGTCTCCGCCGCCTCCGAGAACAAAGACAAACCTCCGGTGCGCTTGCTGCACGACTCGCAGCACAGCTTGTTGTAGCCTGGAATAGAGCAGTATCTTGCCAACACCTCCATTTGGCAGAAGATGGATTTGTCTCCGCTGCACGGCTCATCTGAAAGTCAAACAAAAGGAAGACGGTAAACATCACAGTAACAGGAAATGCATCACAGAGCAAAGACGTGCTGCTTTTGTTCAGAGAGTTAGAGCGCTGACAGAGGTTACACACAAACCATTAGCTGCACTTTCAGAAAAGCGGAGCTCTGCTGCGACGGGAGGCGTGACTCGATTCCCCTTAGAAACGTACAAATGAATTCCAGGAAGGTTTTGGTCCGGTTCACGCTGTCACTCATTATTCATACATCAGAATCACAGTGGTAGGCGTTTTTTATATCTAAAGAATAGAAATGTGCTGGTGTTTGGAACCACTTACGGCCACTCCACAGCAACTATCGCAACAATAGAAAACCTTCTTCCTGTGCCACTAATGCATTAAAGCATTATACAGAAACTATTTGGAAAATATGTAATTTAACAGCAGAAACAGCTAAAAGCACAGGAAAGTCTGAAAGTAACTCAGCTAAACATAAATTATTGGTTTAAATTACTTTTTATTCTAACTGACACAATAAAGGCCTAAAAGCTGCTTATGTAACTTTTATACAAAATGTTTTTACATATTTACTGTCAACAATCTGTGAAAAGGTCGATGTCCTCCATCGTTTACCTGAGCTACTATTACAGTCTGAAGAAATGAACTGCTGCCGACCAAAACCAGCCAATCAGAGCCAGGAGGAGGGGCTTAGTGCTGTCAAACATCCTCGTGTACTCTGTGCTAAATGTAACAATGCTGGAGAAAAAACTTAATGTTACAGGAAAACCATTTATGTACCGTTATCAGTGGCTACGCTAACTAGCCTTAGCATACATGGCACCCTATGCTAGCTGTGGTGTAGCAGAGAGCAGTGCTGTGCGCATACAGGCATGATTGACAGCGCTGAGACCTGCTGACTGGGAGAGGAGCTCAATCTTTTCACAGATTTTCTGTCTCTTTCTAAACTGTCACAACCTGGAGACTGTTTGAACAAATATGGAAAAAACTTGTTGTTTTATAAAAGTTGCATACTTCAGCTTTCAGGGAGGAAAAAAATACAAACTTGCATGTAAAAACGAAATGGACCTCAGGATAAATGACCTGTGGCATGCTCACCGTGGCACGGTCCCGGTCTGCACGGCCTCACCGCCTCAGGTTTCTCCCCGTAGCACTGATCTCCGGTCTTGCAGGTCACAGGCCGCCGCTCCAGCCCCTCTCCGCACGACACGGAGCACTGGACACGGAAAGAGCAGAGGTCAGTGGAGGAAGGTCACACAGCGAACGTCTGGTAATTGGCCAGGATAACAAGCTGACTTCGACGTCCACCTGGAAGCTAAATGCCTCGCAGCATCGTGTTTACCTCCAGCCGACGGGGAAGTCTGCAGGGAATTCAATCAGCCAGTTGGCACCAAAACATTTCAGCTGCTGGTAACTGGAAGCTGTGAGACTTTCCAACCACATTTACTTTATGAAGCAACTTTCTATTGACTGAATTGATTTTTTAACTTTTTGAAAGAGTTTCTTTAGGTTGTAGGTAACTTATGTCCACATAACAGCTGTTATAATCATGAAGCAGCGACTGATGTCATGAAGTGTCATTTGGTAAATAATGACACTTTTAATGCAAAGTTGAAATTTGCAGTTTAGCAGTAAATTGTCATTATTTACCAAATAATGCAAAGTTGACACTTTTAAAGCACTTTTAATGCAACAACAGTAATAAATATTCATTTAGACTCCTTCATGTTCATGACACCCCTTCAAATAAATACTGCAGAAAAGATCATCGATTCATCTAACAAACTGTTTAGCTCAATAAATTTAGAGAAAGATCAATTTGTCCTTCATAACAAGCCTTCAATCATCTCAAGACAGTAGAAAAGCACCTCATGAACTGAATGACAGCTTTTAGAGGAACTTGTCAAATAAAACGACACCATTAACAGAGTGTAAGTCACGTCACACAGGTGTTATTTTTATCAGCAGGCCGTTGAACTGCTGGATGTTCCTTTCAGGATGTTGCTGCTGTCTGCCTGTTAAAATCTCCAGCTGCCTGGGTGGAAATATGAGCTCATGTCTGAAATCCTTCTGCCTGAATGCTGTCCATGAAAAGGTTTCAATGTAAAAATTTAAATGTATGGCGAGTGAGGAACATCCTTAATATTTAGTGTTTTTTCAACTATGGCATCAGAAACAAGAACTAAGTGCATGAGGACAAACAGTGCAAGTGCAGGAGGGAGCGATCATGTGAAAAACGAGGACACCAGTGAAAGAATGTTTTCCAGACATATTGGACAGTTTTCTTCTTCTAGCTGCTCTCCTCATGCAGTATCACTCCATCCTTTGACTCTTCCCCTGTTACAATCATCTCCATGTCCACAGATTTTCTCTGAGGTCTTCCTCTTTTTCATTTCCAACATCCTCTTTCCAGAGAATCAGCCATCTGTCCTCAGAACATGATCAAACTCTCTCTGCTTTGCCTCTGTCTTTGCATCTCAGCTGCCTGACTTTAGCCGTTGCTCTGATCTGATCCTCTGAACTTTTACACTGAATCTATCAGCAGTTTTGCGGAACATATCCATTTCAATACACCTTAAAAACCACTTCATCCTAGTGCAAAAAGCTTTTATTGAATTTTTTTTAATTGGTGTTTTTCCATTGAGTGAATTTATTTTTGTAATTTACCCAATTTTATGGTTAATGGAAATGCAGTAGTGACTCCAGCCGTACACCTCACCACAGTCTGACTCTCTCCTGTACTGAATGACTTCCTTTTGCTTCCTTAAGGAAGCACCAAGAAGTCATCAGTCTGTTAAACTAATTCTGATGTTGGTTGTTCAGGAGGCTCCACTAATGCTTTTCAAAGTTGTACTATTGTGTAATTGCACATCTATTTTTGAAAACATGTGACTGTAAACGTTGAATTGGAGCTGTGACCAGCAGCAGCTCATTTGGATACAAAGCAGCTTAAAATAGGCAGAACTGACCAAACAGAAATCTCATTATCCAAGAACGACTTTGAACAAGAAAATGTGAGAAACATGTTTTGTGTAGACCAATAAACCCGTCTTAACCTGATCAAGTAAGCATAATAAAACCACTGCTGAACTACTTTACAAAACATTTAAGATATTTTACCATTGATGTGAATTGACAGAACTTTATACGAGCCGTAGTTTTTTCTGGTCAGAGAACGTTTGTAGTACCTGAGACCAGCCGCCCGTCCTCCACTGGGCCGGACACGGGGTTCTGTTACAGGGTCTCCGGCTCTCCGGCTTCTCCCCGCTGCAGTATTTGCTGTGGATGGAGCGGCTGGTGTCGTCGTGGAGGAACTGCATGCAGCGAACCGTCCGGATCTGGAAACCCAGGGAGCCGCAGGTTTTGGTGCAATGCTCCCAGTCTTCAGAGATCCATCTGAATAATTTAAAACAAGGAGAACGCTGAGGCTGATCATGACGTAAAAGCTAATTTTTAAAAATAAATGTTGTCATCTGCAGGTAAACATGTTCTCATTTATTGGGTGTTTTCATGTTTTTAAAAAATAAAATTAGCAGGAGAACAAGATGCAAACCATAAACTTCAGAACATAGTATTTATTTATTAACATTTCAACTAATGATGCATGTTTAGAAGAGGTGGAAAGGTTGCAAATGAGCCATTCATCAGCATGCACATGATGGTGCATTCAATTTATACGGATGAAATCAGAATTATGAGGTTTCCTGCTCACCCTGACTTTTAACTAATGCTATTAATACCTAAAGTATGACTGATGTGTGCATAAAGCATAATGAAAGTTCCAGTAACAAACTGTTTTTTTGCGCACATGATGGTGTAAAAATCTTTATTATTATAAGTACATTGTTAGTGTTGTAAATTACTGTGCAAGTCAAATTAGTAGAGGATCTTTGACTCTTCGGATCAATAACTGGAGAAGACCAGAGGAGTTGAGCACAGGTTCAAGCATTAAACCCACAAGGCTAGAAAACACAAGCCAAATCTTTTTACGTATTAATCATGATTCAAAACGTACAAAACAAATAAATCAGCTTCAACAAGAAATCAAAACACAAAAAGACTAAAGTTCACAAAAAGGCATCATGATGCTACCCTGAGCTAACGAGACTAAAAAAGGCCTTTTGGTCATCAGGAAACTGTTTTCTGTCAGTTTTGGTACAAACCAGCGTCAAATGATCATTTCTGCATCGCAAAGAACATTTTTTCAGAATTTATGGAAACGTGTGCAGTGATAAAAACTTCTGAACTCAGACAGGCGTTCTCCACTAACAATGGTTTCCATTTTCTTTTATAAAAACACTTGAGTGGTTAAAGGGAACACATTTAAATGAGAGAAAATGACCTTGTCAGAAAAGCTTAAACCCATATCCAATTGGGAAAATGCTAAATAACTTAAAGATCACTGAAGCAGAAAGCAGCCAGGAGGCAAAAGGAGCAGAAGTTTCAGATACCTGCACAAAGTTGGCAAAGAAGGAGTTTGAAGAAGTAAAGACGTGGTTTGGTTAAATAGATATATACCCCGAGGTCAGCTTTCTTTCTTGTTTTGTTTATTGCAGAATAGAACATCTTTCACACCTTTAAAGAGGAGACACGTCAGGTTGATCGGCATTTTAATTCCAGCTGGTAATAATCCACAAAACACCAGAAGGCATGAAGGCTTTTCTGAGGTATTTTATCACAGAAAATATGTATTTATTCCCTGAGAGATGTGGCTCTGTTCAAAACAAAACAAAACCCAGCGGCTATTTATGGTAGTTCCTTTCCAAATAAGCTGCTACGCTGCTGATACATCCGACACATCCCTTTAATCATGACAGCGAGCGGAGGAAGGCAGTCATCTCTCTGCTCGACTCTGCAGCTGCTCGCTGCCACAGGTAACACTGACTCACACTTCGCCCCAAATCATCTGCTCTGCAAAGGGAAGTTAGCTTCCTCACTTAGCTTCCTCAGTTAGCTTCCTCACTTAGCTTCCTCAGTTAACTTACATAGTTAGCTTCCTCAGTTGGCTTACTCAGTTAGTTTACTCTGTTAGCTTCCTCATTTAACTTACTCAGTGAGCTTACTCTCTTAGCTTACATAGTTAGCTTCCTCAGTTAACTTCCTCAGTTAGCTTCCTCAGTTAACTTACATAGTTAGCTTCCTCAGTTGGCTTACTCAGCTAGCTTCCTCAGTTAACTTACATAGTTAGCTTCCTCAGTTAACTTACTCAGTGAGCTTACTCTCTTAGCTTACATTGTTAGCTTCCTCAGGTAGTTTACTGTGTTAGCTTAACTGAGTAAGCTTACTCAGTTAACTTACTCACTTAGCTTCCCTACTTAGCTTACTTAGTTAGCTTAATCAGTTTGAAACTCACTTGACTTATTCACTTAGTTTCCTCAGTTAGCTTACTGTCTTAGCTTACTCTGTTAGCTAAGACACTTAGTTTACTCACTGCTAATACTCCCTTCAGAGAAAACATTCCTTTACTGGAGCAAGTTTGTTCGCTCAGACGAACAAGAACAAAAGCTTCTGCATTGTAGGTGGATTTCACTATTTTTTATGAGTGTTTATAAGCTTCATATCTGTTTGCTGCTTCCAGCAATTGTTCAGCCTGATGCTCCATCAAATGCTTGCAATCAAATGACAAAGGAAAGACGAATGACTCAACATTTTATGTTCATACGAGAATAAATTACCAACAAGGGAGTAAACCAGCTCAAACTGTCAGGAAACTGGAATTTCTGAAGCGCTTTGCTCTCGTTTTTGCTAAAGAAACAACTTCAGGGAGAGAGTCACAAACTACGTTAAAATATTCACCTACGGCAAGAGGAAATCAGCAGGCTTTGAAAGATGGCCTAATTAACCTGTCGCTTCCTATTTTTATGCCACTTTATTCAAAGCTATTCCTGAAAGTGAAAATTTGAAATGTCAAAATCAATAATAACTCAGCAGGAGAGCGGGTGGGAGGACAAATTTACACTCGACTACAGAAAGGAGATAAATTAAAACATTGGCATGGTTAAAATGTTTCCCTCCAGCCAAGTTCAAACAGTTTAATCTGTTAGCTTGTTCAGCCAGGAGAATCCTCTTTTTTCAAATGTTTCCATATATGAGATAATAAAATCAAGGCCTACATTCTGCGATAATAAAGTTTCCTTCCACAGAAGCACAAACAGCTTATAATTAACATTTCTAAATGAATGTCTGAAACAAAATAACTTCTTCTACACTGTCCTCCTGAATAATAAAATCTAGAAAACGGACATTTTCAAGTTTATAAGAACTTTATAGAAAACATTTGAAGCTCAAACAGAGGATCACATAAAAGCACTAGAGTGATTAATCTGGTTATTTTAGTTTTTAATTGGCTGACAGCACAAATATTAACCGACTGCATTGTTTGATCACCAGGATCAATTAAAATGTGTGTAATTGACTTTGGTTCAATTAAATTAGCTTTCCTTTGTAAAGTCAGACAGCTTGTGTTGTGATTTAAATTAACTGAGCTTTAAATACCTAAATGTCTCAAAGAGACTCGCATTAATTCACAGTAACACATTTTCCACTAAAGAACAAAATACTGAAACATGTTCAAAAGCAGAAAAAACTTTTTTATAAAGTTTAATTTTGGTTCAAAGGAACATGAAGAGGAAGTGCTGCGGTAATAATCGGTAATCAGAGGAAGTCGTACGTATTCGATCTGTGGCGGCGTGCAGCAGGCGGCCATCTTCCTTTTCTGTCCAAATCCCCTTAACTTCTTTCTGCTCCGTCTCAAGGGAACAAATCATCTTTAAAAAAATGGAAAATAACTCCACTGGTTTTCTAAGTTTCTCTTCGGCTGCTTTTACAGTTCAGTCCAGTTCTTACTGCTCAGGATAACATGTTTAGAAATGAGGAGAAATGGACAAGTAGACGACACACCTACCGCAGATGGACATAGATAGTGTATAGATATTTGATTATAGAGTTGATCATCCTCTTCTCTGGTTTTCACCTGACAGCTCTTTGGGAACAACGGGCTTTTTTTCTTTCTGTCTGCTAAACCTTGTTAGCATTTAATTGTTTTCCAAAAATTGTGTCCTTGTGACAATCTGCTAGTCACAAAGTGACTAAATAAGCAATTTAAAACTCATTAGGTTGTCATTTAGGTGTCAACCGTTGCCACTACCTCGGGCTTTGCACTCATTTTATGCCTGAATGATTCACAGGACAAAGTTAAGTAGCTTATAAAAAACTGAAATGAAGTGAAACCATCAGACTGCCTGCTGAAGACAACAAATTCTGGTAAATATTCTCCTTTATTTAAAGATAAATGTAGTTAACCTTTGGAAAAAACACAGCATTGTGTTAAAATCACAAAGTTTAACAGAATATTCATCATATGCAGCCAGGTGCTGGATGGGGACATAGCATGGCTAATTCAGATAAATAACTCTGTCTTTGTGAGCCGGTTTCAGGCTGTGCTGCTGCTGCTGCTGGGTCAGATCAGGCTCCAGTGTTAGAAATAAAAGCCGGGTTCGTCTAACATCCTCCCCTGGTTTTCTCCAGGCTGATGCATGCTGGGATTTTATTTTTGACCCCAGTGTTATCCTTACTTTGGAGCCAGTGGGTCATAATTTTCCCTGTCGAGGTTCAACGCTCCACCATGATGGTGGAAACATTTACAGCGACGGCGCTGATTGGTTCTGAGCCGACCCAGCTGCATCAGCACTGGGATTGGCTCCTCTGCCTCAGGTCAAAGGTGAATGTGGAAGATGCCAAATGATGCAGATTCAATTTAAAATGGCTTCCAGGTGGGGAAACGTGTTAATAAATGGTAAAAATACTGCAGATTGAAGAGGTTCGGTGTGAAGAGGCTGTCATTAAAGTTCAGTTAAATGTAAATTTTATATTAATATTTGATAAAATGTGGTGACAGGTTGCTATGAGAAAGATCATGTGACTAAGCCATCTGAAGAAATGCACCGTTCCCAACCAAAAACAAGCAATCACAGTCAGGAGGCGGGCCTTAGAGCTGTCAATCACCCTCATCCATTCGCTGCTAAATGTGCTAATGGGGTAAAAAGAACTCATTGTTACAGGAAAACCAATTATCTCCCAATTATAACCAACAGTGGCTATGCTAACTAGCATTTCGCTCTGCTGGGGAGAAGCTAATAGAGCGAAGGGGAAAGGACTGAGCAGCGCGCACACAGGCATGATTGAATGCAATCTTATTAAAAACTTCCAAAATAAACTTTACAATAATAGTTGTATAATTTATTCAGGTGTTGGCTACACCTGTTTGTATTTAATTTGTTTGATAGTCAAACCAAGAGACTAATTTAATAGAGAAACATGTAACAAGGAAATGAAGCTTCATAAATAAACTGAATACTTCACCCTCACAGAGGGGGTTGATAATTAAACATTACATT